ACTCAGTTTTGATCATGCCAGCAAGGTGAAACTCGTTTCTGAGATGGATGAACTGAGGAAAATGCCTCCTAATAGGTTGCAAGTATTTTTCTTCCATTCATCATTTATAAAATTTTGTATTGATGTATTATTATTTCATGTAGGTAATGTAGTCAAATTTGCTTATTGTTATCATGCATTATAGTACTTTGGAGCCAAACTAGATAATGTTTCATATCAAGAATTAGCTGATGCTTATTCATGTAGATGGTCTATTACATTATAACTTTATTTTATCACTTTAATCAATTCATCTGCTTCATCTCAACTACTCTTATACATGTAATTTATTTCAAATAAACTGAACATTTCAGATTTGGATGAGGGCTACTCAAAATGAATGATATGCACAGATTAATGTTGAACAAATGAGAATACTAGCAATCTGGCATGTTTTAGCCTCAGCAGAAATATGGTATACTTCTCTACATGTTTAAGTTTTCCTTTATAATGAGCTATTTTACAAATCTTTGCAACTTTATGTGGTTTCTTAGTGTTTCTGAAATGATAGAATTTCTTCGATGACAAAAACTTTTGAAAAGAATTTATTTTGGTTCCATTCCTTACTTCAAACAAGTCATTATGTCCAAGGGAAGAAGAAATTCTCTTCTGTTGAGACTATGAGAGGAAAGCCAACAGTGGACAGACTAGGAAGGGGCTCCATGAAAACCATGAGCCTAAGCATGGATCATGTGGATGACATGACACCATGTACACACATAGAGCTGGGAAGGTCTTAGAGACTCAGAAAATAGGACTACAGTTTCTGATTTGTTCAAGAAAGTACTGTTATTGTCCAGTTAGTGTATTTATTTGTACAATTACCTGAGAAGAATTATTCTTACTTTTTGTGGGCTCAGTCCCTTTCTAGACATGCAAAAAGCATTAAAAAGCATTAAAAAGATGCATGCAACTTAGTCTCTCCATACAGCTTTATTCTTACAGAGGAACATAGAAAAGTATACTGAAAAATCACAACATGGCAAATGTACTGCCATTGGTCCTCTGAGAACCAAGAGTTTGAATCTTCATGATAGATTAGCTCATCTATAGAATGTGTATATACAAATTTAATTTCAAAATTATTCTACACATAAGGAATTAATGGTATTTCCTTTTGTTTGAACAGAATTGAACTTAGGCAATTTCCAAAGGACTAGACCTAGATGGGAATCTTAGAGCTTCAGGTTCCATGACACTTGCCACCATTGTTCACCAAGCTAGTTGCAATTCAATTACAGAAGATCTATGCCCGCTGAAATAAGTGGAAACATTTGGAATATGGGGAGAGTGGGAATTCTCTCTGGTTTATTGTGGGAAAAAGACTTCTCTTGAACATAATAAGCAAGTTGACCCTTTTTCTTATACCCATTTAGGCATTTGTTTTCCTAGAAATTTTTTAAATCTGCATATTTAGGACAATTTCTGAAATTTCATCTGCCTCCATGTTTCTATTAGATACACATTTGGCAAGATACTACAAGCATTTCCAATTTGGATTTCAGAACATTCCAAGAGTTTAAGAATTTGAGACTCAGTTCTTGACTTAAATAGTCTGAAAGTGCCATTTTGGTTTCTTTTTGGACCCGTGGGTATTTATAGAACATCATATATTTTTGATATGGATCCTAACTACATTGGCACAGTGAGCATAGTTTCTTCCCTTGCAAACAATTGTGATTTCACAATAGGCACATGTTAAGTCACAGCATTTTACATATTGTAGCCAAGGAAGAAGACTTAAGACTTTCTAAGAGAGACTGTCATAGCACCTGAGAACACAGATGGAGATTACTTCTCTATATGTGAAGTTTGCACTGAATTAGAAACAGTCATAAAGCCTTCAAGTTCTAAAAAGTACTTAGGTTTCAAAATTGTAGCCCTACCCTCAACTACTAGGAATAGGAAGGGTTGACAGATTAGATTCTGAGACAAGTTACATCTCTTAAACTTTGTTTTACCAAAAGCAAACAGTCCAAACTTATAACAGTATTTAGCAGCTATTATAATGCTTCTGAACTCAGAAGGCAGTTTAAAATTACATATAATAATACTATGCCTGGTAAAGATGATTTGGTTGTGGGTCAATGGTTTCATTTAACCTGATCATCATGAGACATGCATGGAATGTTCCTATTTTAGTAAAGTTCAAGATAGAACTTGAAGTCAGCAGAACACTTTGTGTAACAGATAGAGACCAGATAGAGAACAGAGGAATTATTGACCTCTTGAACTCAGAGTTCGTGATCATCAAATATTAGAAACAAAGACAAGAAGCTGAGAAGATGGCTCAGTGGGTAGGAGTGCCTGCTGCTTAAGCGTAAGGACCTGAATTTGGATCCCAAACACCATGTGAAAACTGGGTGTGGCCATGTAGGCCTGTAACGTCAGTCAGCAACATAGGGCTGGATATAAGGGAGTTGCTGGGGATTGCTGACTGCCAGCCTGGCTCCAGACTCCATGAGAGATCTTGCCAACAGGTAGTAAGATGAGAATAATAAAATGTTCTCCTATGCCCTCATACACTACACACACACACACACACACACACACACACACACACACACACACACCTCACAGATAAAAGAAAAGAAAGCAAGGCCAATTCTCAAATCATAAATTTTTTTGATAATTGTTCCAGAAAACTGTATAGAAAGCAAATCAATGAAAAATATTGAAACAGATATCTGTAATTTTCTGATTTTTATCTACAACAAATTAGTTGAGTCTCATAAATATAATTGAATTACTTGAATACACAGGTCTATATTGTTGCTAAATCATAAATATACAATGAGCCATGTGGTTAAGAAGGCTGAACTTCATGCCGCATGCTTGCTTGTGTGGTATAAAGTGAAACCAACCAGCCCTATCTACTCAAGCTAGCGTGTGGTAACTTAAGGAAACCACACTGTAACAAAAAAAAAAAAAAAAAAAAAAAAAAAACCCAACCATTTGAAGGGTTTAGAAAGCAAAATCAATTACAACCATGCTAGCTTCATGCTGTTGTTAAAATGCCACCACCCAGTGCTATCAAGCCACACATTTGATGTCTTGTGTTTCAACAAGATAATGCCTCTTAAGAACGAGCTGAGTGTGCAGAGAGCCATTTTCTCTCTGTTTTCCTTCTTTACATTGTCTTTTAGAATGATCTTCTACTTAGTCAGGGCTTGATTAGCTTCCTATATGGTAATATTTCAGATATACTGTCTCATTTTCATTTCCCTATTGGATTAATGATTTGCTGTTTAATGTCTGTCCCTAATTAGATGGCTACACACACCTCAGAGATATCTCAAATGACACTCTTCCCAATCTTCTTCCTTCTTGGCTCCAGGCACCTTTCTCTTCTCACACTCCTGCTGTCAGGTAATGGCACCAGTATCCATCCATGAAGTGAAGTACTGATCTACCATCTTTATTTTCTCCTTTCCTTCCTCTAAAGGACTACCTTGTAAAAACCTGTCGATTTCATCATCTAACTGCGTCACAAAACTTTCTTTGCTATTCCTGTCTTGTTGCCATTTAAGGTTGATTCAATATCTACTTATTCAACTTTTGTAACTTCTTCTTGTTAAAAATAATTTTTGTACAATTTTAAGGGTGTCTGTAAATGAGGTGGTTATATTACTATACTCAGAGGGATTGTATCCCGTGTCTTGTTATAAATCTAAGTTTTGTATCTACCTTTAGCTTTGATTGTCTAAGTTGAGCTCAGAGAGACCACATCCTTGCAGATTATAGCTAAGTCTCTACATGCACAAGATACACCAAGGCCATCAGTGACCAACATCTGAATTTGGGGTTGAACTTGGCTAGTTCCTCAAAATATGCTATCTTCACAGGTTGATCTTTGGAGTTCTAATCCAATGTTAGGTAGCTATGATACCTAGAGAGTCATTTTTGTTTAGGAAATAAAAGACAGAACAAGAAAAAAGTAGGTTGTGTACCTACTGTGTGTGTATGTGTTGTGCGTTTAGAGTCTCAATTTGTCTCATTTGAGTTACTGCATTTTCATCTAGTGCTCAGTGTATGATAAATATCCTGGACAGATATAAGGATGAATCAAACAGACATGACTCCTACTACAGAGACACTAAACTCTAAGGTGACTCAAAGTAAGAATAAGATAGACTGAGCGTGCCCTCTTTTGGGCTGATTGATCTCATGCAACACCCAAAGGAGAAGTTAATTAGTCCTCTCAGCTCCTTGACTCCCACTGTTGTCCAAAAGAAGGCTTGCTGCTGTGTAATCCACAGGCATATGGCCTTATGGGATTTAACAAGTGATCACTTCAACTGGTTATTTGGAATATCTCTTTTTAATTCTTAACCTTTAAAGACATTTTTAAAAAGTTTTGAGATTATAATAAAATTTCTTGATTTTCTTTCCTCCATGGAAACCCTCCCATTTATCTCTCCCTGATTTCTGTCAAATTCATGGTCATACTTAATTTAACCTCTTCAGTCTAAATAAGGTTACTTACATGTATGTTTTTCAAACTGACCATTTGGCACTAGACCACCAATTGCTCTGTTCTTCCCTGGGGAATACCTCTCCAGTTCCAAGCTTTCTTTGGTTGCCTGTACTTCTTTGTGTAGGGTTGGGGCTTCATGGGCTTCTCTCCATTTTGCAGGACATCCATTGGTGTCCTCCTCGATCAGCACGTGTTTGGCCAGTCATGTTTGTGAGATTTTATGACTATAGCACTAGCATTTCTGGAAGAAACAATCTCACAGTAAACACCCTGATTCTCTTGCCTTTACATACTTTCAGACCCATCTTCCACTTTCTTCCTGGGCCTTAGGTACAGGAGTGTTTGTAGATAGATCTACCAGGATTGTGTTCTGCATTTTGATTGGTTGTGGTTTTCTATTGTCTGTTAAACTAGTCATTTATTTATTATTTTGTTTGTTCCATTGATTCTTAAATCATGATTGTACTTTTTTTTCTCTTTCTAGGTACAGTCTAATTTCAAATATATATTAACATAGAACAAATATCAAAAATACCTTACAGTGCAATAAATATAGATGCTCGAATCTCCCCTAGGAGATCTGCCAACGGAAGCAGGAAGCTGCTTTTCAGAGAAATCTGCATCAGCTGGCCGGCTCTGAAGCACTCCTGACTGCAAACAGGAATGGAGAATGTTGAGGTTTACATGTGTGAAACAATGAAATGCTATTTTCCATTGTGAAGGAAATATCTCTCATTACTAAAAATTTAAAAGAAAAAAAATCTGAAGATCAAAAATGAAGTTATTCCAGGCTGAGCCCACATTGTAATTTTAGTTCTTTGTGTGTAGACTGTGAAGTACAGTGACCACTTCCTACAGACTGGTTTCTGAAATTCTGGTTTTGTCACTTGAGAATAATGTAATTTAGTTGATGTGCTGATAACTCAACCATAATTTTAGTTACTTACTGTAGATCAGAAGTGGTATGGGTTGTTTAAAACTACGTTCATGTATGTGAAAGACTAAATTTAGACATCTGAATTTTCATGTATATGTTCATATTTATGCAGAGTGGAAACAGACATGTCTTCAATTAGATCTTACAAATTTCAACACTTAAGAGTGGTACATTAATAGGTTAAACAATATATATAATAAATAATGTATAGTAGATGTGATTTACATATTTATGTACTTAATGGGATACTATTCACATAGACATCTAGATATTTAATAACTGTTAAAGCAATATTTTTTCTTTAAAAGCTAGGTTGTTGTCTAGCTGAAGGTTTAGATTTTGGCATTATATACACAACTATATGTATAAACATAATTTTTCTGAATAACTTGTTGCTATTCTGGAGGTCTGCTCTTTTTATTTAAGACATGGAAGTGCCTCCTGGAGATAGGCAGTTTTTCAAGTGGCTTACACAATTCTTAACTCAGATCACCATGGCAGGTTCATTGGCAGGTTCTAGCATGACACCCAATTGGCTTACTCCATGTCAATCAGCTAAAGGGCAGGGCTGAGATTCAGAAGAAGGCAGAGCTCACAGAATTGCAAGGTGCTCGAGTCAGTATTTAGCTTTTCATTGAGTGTCTGGGGAGATGCAAATATGCATCAGACCATTGAGGAGGACTAACAAAAGTCACATCTGAGCAGGTTTTATCTATTAATTAGAAGTCAAGAGCACAGGGAGGATTTCTTCCCTGTTTTCCCCCAGGAAGTCATACCTTACCTGCTCATCTCCTTGGGGCATGGATGCAGAGGATCACGCAGCCACCAACAAAGGGAAAGTTAATCCAAAACAGCATTCCTTCTCTGTGTTACATAGAATGAATAGTCTCTTGCTTTTTTTTTTTTTTGAGTGACATCATTGCTGTCATAAGAGCTAGGCTAGCCTGGGTGACAGGCTTCTTTCCCTGGTGACATTGTTGTTACGTTTTGAACCCTGTACTGCAGTCCTCCTGACTCTATTAGCCTTATAAATTTGTGAGTGTACCTAACTGCAGATCTTCAGATTGTACTGATCTATAGGACTATAGAATCTTTTCTACTGTCTTCTAGAACCTTTTTGTTTTTGTTTGTTTGTTTATTGTTTGTTTGTTCATATTTTTTAATTTTTGTTTTTGCAGTGCTGAGATTCTAACCCAGGGCCTTGCAGATCGTAGGCAATTGCTGCACCACTGAGCTACACCTCCAGCCTTAGGGAACAGTTGAAAAGGCCAAAACAAATTATTCTATAGTTTTTCTATTACACTAAACATTGAACAATAAAATACAAATCATTGTTTGACTTAAATTTTTACTTTTTATATTTATTTACCTTGTGAATATGTGTACGAAAGAGCAAACGTGTGTGCATATATGTGAGTGCAAGAGCCATGGTATGGGTACAGAAGTCAGAAGACAACTGGCAGATATTGTTCTCTCTCTCCACCCTGTGGGTTCCAAGGATTGAACTCAGATCACCAGTGTTGGTGGCAAGTGCCTTTATCTATCAAGGACTCTCATTGGCCTACTGTGGCCCTTGAGTTACATAGTAAACTAATTGAGATCACCTTCTACGTTATTTCAGAAAGTGAAGAGCCTTAAAAATTCCCCAGAAATATTACTTTAAGTTAAATTCAGAACTCTTTCTCAAGAGAAATTTAAAAAGTTGTTCTAAACTAAAACCTAATAATAATAATATATATTATTGCAATATAATATATAAAATTCATGTATTTAAATATATTTATGATTATATATAATGTTTATATATTTATAATTATTTACTTTTTATATACTATTATATATCATATGTAAGAAATAAATGAACTTACTGTTTGTTAGCAATACTGAAGGAATAATCCCTGATCCAGTGCATCTACAGTGTAGACCTGCCCCCTCCCTTTCACCCCATATACAGAATATGTTGTAGATGTTCTTCCTTTTATTTTACTGGAGCAAGAAAACATTAGAGACATTAGATAAACCATCCAGGGCCAAGCAGATCATAAATGACATCTAGGATGGGTTACTCTGGCCTCAAAAATTATATTCTTTTCATCCCAATCCTATCAACTTTCAAAACAAATCCTGGTTGCTTTTACCTTTAAATGAAACCACAGCAGCAGAGAAACACTTCAAGAGAGGAAGGACATCTTTAGAGAGAGGGTCCTTTGCACCTTTCCCCCAAGTGATCTTAATCATGCTGATTTTCCTGGGTGAGTTAGAGGGGTTTAAACTAGGAAGCACCAGTATCTTAATTAAATACCTACCTCTAAACAATTAAAATGCTGATTAGGGTCCTAGTGTGAAGTAGGAGCTTCTGTTCTCTGTGCTCTGGGGTCACTATACTTTGCAGATTCAATGCTTACAGTACTGTAGTTTCACCTCAGAGCCCTTTGAATAGCTGAGAGGAAAGACAGGGAGAACAACAAGTGAGAGGCATAAAAGGTTGTTACTCGTCCTTCTCAGTACCCTTGACCCTCAGTCTACATCTTAACTGTCAACAACCAAAAAAACTATTGTGTGAGAGAAGTGCTTAAAATACTCGAGTCTGTCTCCCTACTAGTGGAGGTAGCTTGTGGTCTGGGAAGCTATAGTGACAGTTTGAAACTGTTGTAGATTATATATACTTATATATATCTGCAGTGTGGTGTGCTTTCTTATCTAAAGGAGCTTGACCTCAAACAGTTGACAAAACTAAGCACAAAGAAAGTAAAGTCTCACATTTCCTCATTTCAAGGTTTGTGTTCAGTTGTCGATGTATCAGCAAAAGTCGGTATTAATCCATTTTTGGTATGAACATGACAAGCTGTGGGTTTTTCTTTTTGTATTCCCTTAACAGCTGTGAACAAGGCTGTGCCATATTTACACTCGATTATTGAAAGTTTTTGATTTCACCAAATAAAATACAAATAGGTGACCTTACAAAGAGGTTATTAAAGTAATGTCATAAACCACTTACTAATCCTATTGTAGTGACCAATGCACAGTATTAATAGTAAATTCTAGGCAACCTTATTGTAGAAAATAAAAGTCTTGTAAGCCACACATTATGTACCAAGTAAATAACTCCTGTATAAAATGTGAATAAGGTATTAGCCTTGCTCTGAGGAATAAGTACATAGTTAATTAGATGTTAGGTGCTCTTTAAAAGGAAGTAGACTTTATTCCAGAAGTGACTTGGTGATTCATGTGTGCAGGAGCCCAGAGAGACTTCTACACCCAGCAAGGAAGGTCAAGGCACATAGGAAGAACCAGACTCATGATGAGGACAAACTGGGAAAAAAAGAAGAGAAAAGAATTGTATCATTTTCATTTAGTGTTCTGTAAATGTCTTCATTTTAAATACATTGAAGAATTGTCCACAGATATAAAGGAGATGCAGAAATGAGTCACAGGCCATACAAATAAAGGGGAACAAGTTATTGAAAGGAGGGGGAACAGGATGTGACAGAAAGGATCTAAGGGGCGGAAGGAGACATCCAGAGGAACAAAGGTGTTTGTAAAATGGTTTTGAGTCTTCTGCACTTTCTGAGTCTTCCGACTCCTGTGGAGTCTCATTCTCTGAGTCTTTTGCAGGATGTACATTTTTAGCCTGTTTACTCAGTAACTGAAACCTTTGCTTTTGTGCTCTTTGAACAAAGCAAATGTAAGGCTAGGAAGGAGAAGTTGGTTTCAAGCCAGTTGAGGTGCAATTCTTGTCTGAGGCAGCATAGTGTCTCAAAGTATACACCCAGCTATACTGCTTCTGGGCATATACCCAAAAGATGTTCCACCATACCACAAGGATATGTGCTCCACTATGCTCATAGCAGTTTTATCTGTAATAGCCAGAAACTGGGAGCAAGATGTCTCTCAACTGAAGAATGGATAAAGAAAATGTGGTTCATTTACATAACAGAATACGATTCAGCCATTCAAAACAAGGACATCATGAATTTTGCAGGTAAATGAATAAAACTAGAAAATATCATCCTGGGTGAGGTAACCCAGATCCAAAAGTGATACCATGTTCCAACAGGCTACTCTTGCGGACTACTAAATCTTCTTACAGCTTAGCCTACAGAACATCTTGTGACATCACATCAGTGACTTTTGGATGAGAAGTGCATCTTGTACCAGCAATGGAGTTTTCTTTACAGCCACTTTAGAATGTCTTCAAGAAGATAAGTTGTTGATACTCCAGTCAAATACCTCCCACCCACACTCAGCAAGTATCTCTAAACTCAGCTGTTCACATACAAATTTAAACTTCAAAGTAGGAGGGGACTTAGTTAGAATAAGGATTTCAACAGGAGAGGAAGGGGTGACAGAGAGAAACTAGGGTTGAAATGACTAAATGCATTATATAAATGTAGGGAACTGTCAAAAACAGGAAAAAATAAAAGCAGAACTCATTTAAAAAAGAAAATGAGTATCTACCAAAAAGGTAAAGATACTAAGACTATAGCAAGCATTGATGAACTCAATCTATCAAGATAACCTCCATATAATGAAAGTTCTATTAATATTTGCTGAAAGAATTGATGAGGGCAAGGATAAAATATAGAATTTGAGTCTTTTGACAAAATAAAATTAGATTCAGATACAAGCTTAGATTGCAGTGGGTCCCTTTTGATTGATGGAGTGATATTGGATATGACCCAGTCTCTGAGGGTGATTTCAACTCCTTGAGGAGAGAAGATAGCATATATAACAGGCATGGAATCAGGTTTCTTTCACAACAGACTCTTAGTACTCAAATACAGTACTCAAATTATCTAGTTAAATGGAAAGGATTAATTAATTATAAGTGATAAAAGCAATGTATAAAATTATTATCAAGGGATTTGGAAGGACACAAGTTATGTGGGTCGATTCCGTCCTAAGTCAGTGTTTTGGCAGATAATTAATAAGCTTGTGGATGTAGGCTGGTTATCTTTGGCCTAGGAAGGTTACATTATGATAGAGAAAGTTTAATCCCTACTGAAGTATAATCACAAAAATAACTCACTCAGGGTGTCTCTTAAGGTTACTATGACTGTGATAAAACACCATGACCTAAAACTACTTAGGGAGAGAACGTTTATTTGGCTTCCACTTCCACTTCACCCTTCATCACTGAAGTGTTGGAAAACAGTCCAAGAATGGAGTTGTATGAGAATTCCGAGTTCCTGTGAGAAAACTCCAAGAAAGCAGACAAGACTTCTTGTGAACCTAGTTTCTTTAAAACATAGAATTGTTCTTGGAGTGTATGCAAATGCTCCCCCTAGCTGTGGCAGACAGAAGTGAGTTTACTTCAGGTGTTGTTATAGTCATGCCTCTATGGAAAAATATGTTTTTGCCACCTGTCGCTTGTTTTTGTAATTGAACACCTTACTAATGTGATTCCTCTTAACTGTCAGAGTGTAAATTGTCTGATGCTCTGAACGAAGTTGGTTAATACATGGGACTTTAGTCTGACTCGTTTCTATGTTCTTATCTCCTAGGTTCACTCCACCAACTAGTGTGGTAAACATTGAGGGCAGCCAGGACAGGAACTTGAACAGGGCAGGAACCCAGAGGTAGGAGCTGATACAGAGGCCATGAGGAAGTGCTGCTTACTGGCTTGTTCCACATAGCTTGATCAGCATGTTTTTTTTTTATAGAACCCAGGAATACCAGTCCAGGAGTGGTCCCACCCATGATAGGCTGGACTCTCCCACATCAATCACTAATTAAGAAAATGCCCTAAAAGCTTGCCTCTAGCTGATTTTATGGATGTATTTTCTTAATTGTTCTTTCCTTTCAGATGACTTTAGCTTGTGTCAATTTGACATAAAGCCAGCTATCCCAGGGTCAATGAAGCCAAAGGCAGACAAGTTTCAGGAAGGACCAGGGGAGGGTGAATTAGTAAAGCCTTGAAAGAGATGTAATAACTTGGGGGGTAGTCATCCTGAGGGTAGTCTAGATCAATGCTGAGGTAAATAAGTCCTAAAATGGAGTGGCCTGACAAGGCTGGGAGTGACAGATAAATGGCTCTCCTATGAGCAGCTCTGATATTAGTTAGGCCAAAATCAATCTCCTTGGACAGTTGTATAATACCTTCATGTCTTAAATTTTACAGCCATGAAGTGGACAATAATTCTGCCTCATAGAGTAAATGCTATTGTGACTGAAGGATGCAGTAAAGGAAAAACTGTGACAGAGGAGGATGAGGCAAGTCAAAGGAACAGAAGTGCTTCAGGGGCTCCTATGACCTTATTTCCAGGGATCTGGGTCATGGAGGAATCCCTGATTGAAATGCACTGGGGATCTCTAAGCTAAAATTCTATGAAGTAAAGCAAACCCTACCTTCTCCCTAGACTCAAAACCATCAGTAGTAAAGCTTCCCTCAGAGTTAATCTTAACAGCTTAGAAGTGAGACTAGCAATACGCAAGCCCATTCGTGCAAAATAAGAAATGGCTCTCTTGAAAGTTTTCTTGGTGCTTTTAAACACTAATAGTAGAAGCAGAAGTAAGTGAGTCCCATGAGAAAAAGTTAAATGAAAATAGGAAGTGCTCAGCATGAAAGCCACACATGTTTTGTAAGATTTTGTTCTTCCAAATTCTCTGTGAACTCTTCTTTGTACATAAAAATTACTTAAATGGTCAGAGTTTCGGTCAAACACTATCTTGGTGGCAGCACTACATTTCTGACTAAGTAATTTAGTGATATTGTGTCACACTCTATCTTCGGCTAGGCTGGAACTCACTGTGTAGCCTAAGCTAGCCCCAATTGCACAGCAATGTGCCTCAGCCTCCTAAGTGTTGTGATCATGGACATGAGCTACCATGCCTGATTGTAACCATTGTTAAACTAAAGTAATATGTTGCTTGGAGATCAAGAGAGAATTAGGAACTCATTTTAAGTTAGAGTAACTACAACCTAATAATACAGAGAGTGATCTACAAAAAGAGGAGATATGTTCAGAATATTAAATTGTCTTTTCATCTGCATTTATAGAGATTCATCAAGCCAGCTTTTAGAGTTATTTCTAGGTATCATTGATGAAGTATTTCCATGATATCAGTGCTTTAGTGAGCATCTTTGCTGATTTTGTTACCACAGGTCTCAGAGATAGAGTTGACATTTTATTCTTTGCACAGCAAAGAAGGAAGCTGCTGACAGGGACTAATAGTCCTGGGAATATATCCCTAGATGAACAATAACTGTGGAGAGACTGTACTGAAGCTCAATGTTATTAGTAGTTCATTTTGGGCTACAACATCCATTCCTATGGTCAATGAACTTTTCAAGCAAAGTTAGTAGGAAGCATTGTGCATCTTGCTTCTTCTTGATATAACACCATGGGAACCAAAAATACCCTCCTCGTGGAACTGTGTATGACTACAAATGTGGCTCATGTTACTTCAAAGTACATACTGTCACACACACACACACAC